GCTGGGTCTGGTCAAGGCACTGCAAAGAGGTAGCCGAGCAGGGAGCAGGAGTGTGGTTGCTGGGATGTAAACGCCACTACCATCCATCTCCGAAGGTTTCTTATAAAAGCCCTTCACAAGGTGACTGTGTTTACCGGACCCTAGTTGTATAGTACTTTTGTGGAATTTCTATATTATATACGGTTTCTTTCGGCTTTCCTATACAGGCACCTTCGGCCAACTATGCCGTATGTAGTCTTTGTTGGGGCTTGGCCTTGTGTTCCTTCAAGCTGTTCGCCCAACCTGCTGCCTTTTCAATTGGAGGTTCATTTCGACACTGCAGGGTACATTTTCAAAGACCTTTGATCGAGACCTACTGTGAATGACAGTGACAAAACCTTTGTTTGTTTGGGGGCATTCTAGGGCACTCTTGGCTCCATTCCCCAAAGCTTCCTCGATCAGATGTACTCCTTTGGCTTCGCTCGTTTCGTTTCGCTTTAGGATTGCAGAAAAAGTCCTCCAAGTTGAGTTTAATTAGTTGGGGCAGAGGACATGAACAGCTTGATATGATCTTTCCGAAACCTTACCTGAGAAATTTGTTTGGTCTTAGGGATTTCGAAAGAGAGCGGAAGTCTTTGGTTTCGGCTTGTGAACCTAAAGCGTGCCTTTGTCGTTCACAGTCTTTTAAGGGCCTACGGTGGGTTCCTGGCCAATATTTGAGGCCCAGGGGAGTTGATCGAAGTCTTGATGGGGATGATGGCCTTGAGTCCGTCCTCGAGGTGGTCTGCCGAAGCTATCTTCTTAGCAGCCGGGGGCGAAAAAGCCCCCCAGCCGCAAGATCTAGTGGCGCCACAGCCGCAAGATCAAGTTGCACCGCCGGCCAAGAAGCGCAAGCGTGACCACATCGGCTCTTGCTTCCGGGTTTCACTAGTTGACTCTGACATGCCTCTTGCGGAAGCGTGCTAAATTTTGAGCCGTGGGAAGGCATCAGCTCAAGAGGTCAATGGTGGCATTTTGCTCACCTGGCCCCATGCAGTCTACTTCAACACGGCCGACTCGTACACGAAGTGCCGTTTGTCGGCGACTTGCAAAAGCCGTGTGTCTCCGGTTGAAATGGACGAAGGTGGTATGCCGCAGTTGCTCAAAGTTCAAGGCGGCAGAGGCTTAACAGTTTTGAGGTCGCAGTGCTTGACCCCGGATGTTCTCGACTGGCTTCTTCAAGACCCCTCGCTCGACAACTTCAACCTCAAAGACTTTGCCGGGACCCTCCGCAAGGAGGGTTCCGACAAAGTCGAGCTGGTCTTTGCCTTGGGGGAAAGCCCGCAGAATGGCACGCTCAATGGGGACAGGGTCTCCGGTCTTTTGCCTCTCAATAGGCTCAGGGCTCGGGTCGGCGCCTTTAAGGTTGTGAATGACGCGCATTTTGCAAACATGCAGCGGAATCTTCGCCGGGGCATCTCCACCCTAGCAGATTCCGCGAACAAAGAGCACTTCGTGAAAGAGGACTGGCGGCGCTGGCTTTGCGCATATGCGACCATGCAATTGCGTCGGGGCGATGGTGATGTTGCCGAACCGTGCCACTACGACGGAGGGGCCAGCATATTCCATCTTTCTGTTACTCTTAGCGGGCGCAGGAAGGCAGTGTGTGTGTTCAAAATGGTGTGTTTTCCAAGACATGGTTGAGAAGTGACCCGCTAATAAAGCTTCCAGCTTGTTTCCAGTACGGCTACCTCCATTCCATCCAGGTGGCCATTCACAACGCTGCGCCATCGGAAGCTGACGTGGACCTTCACCTCGGACCTGGCTCGGTCTATTTCGGAGATTTTACCGGAAGCACCTTGCCAAAGATCTTGGATAATCACTTTCCTATTTTCTGCTTCTTGGCAGAGTTGTTTTCGTTTGGGGGCTCTATCGAACGCAGAGCCCAGGCAAGCACACTCCGAGCCGCCTCGCGCTTGGAGCAGACGCGCCGCTGGCGGTTAAAGGCTTTGGCCCCTGCGCTTTGGCCTTCCAGATCCGCACGTCGGCCTTTGCGGCCTCACGAGCGAGAACTTCCAGTTCAGGACTGCAGGTCCTTTTGCTGTCAAAAAGTTCATTCAATGTTCAAGATACCTCAGACTCTTTTGAAAGGAGAATTTCCAAGTAATTTGGCGTTTGCCCCGGAAAGGGCGCACATATGTGGATGGTTGTTGAACCTTCTTTATTTTGTTGGATCAAGATCGTAAAGGTTTGTTGAAAAGGCTGACTGCCCCAAGGTCTGGAACTTCGACATTAATACATGATATTACTAGGTTTAGGAACAGAGTCCGAAAGGCTTGTTGGACAAAAAGACTGTGTCAGCATGTAACCACCTTCTGGTTTGCAATCTTGCAATCTTCTTAGTAATCCTTTATAACCGGCGTTGTCCTCCTTGTCGTTGGTGTCTTCCTGCCGTGTTTTCCTCTTGTCCCTGTTGTCCCCGTATCTGCGCGCCCTGTGTTGCCGTGTTGTCCTCTTCTTGTTCTCTACCCTCCTTTTGTTTTCTGACTGGTTTCACGTGTCGTCTTCATTTTGCTCTCCTGACCACGCTCTTGTTCAACGTCATGGTGTCCTCCTGGCCCTCTTCTTTGTTCGCTTGTCTTCTTGCAGCTCTGTTGTTGTCTTCAGGCCGCCAGGAGCCTGTATCTGCACGTTGTCCTCCTCTTGTCCTGCTCGCGTCCCCTCTTCTTGTTGTCTCTTTAAGCTGTGGCGGCGAACCCTTGTCCTACCCCTTGTCCTTCAAGCAAGTCTGCGGTCATGGTCTTGTTCGTGCCCTCTTGCTCCTCTACCTCTCTTTGCCTCGCCCGGGCCCAGTTTTATCGCGTTGCCCTTTTCCTGTTGGTGCCCTTTTGTTGTCCTGCTTGTGCTCTGGTTGCCCTCTTGGTGTCCACCTGTGTCATTTGCTGTCTTCTTGGTGTCCTCTTGTCCCCTTGTTGTGGTGTTGTTTCTGCTTTGTCTGTCTGTTTCCCTTCTGGTCCCATTGTTGTTGCGCTGTTTTTTGTCCTTCTGTTGTCCTTCTTGCGCAGGCCTGTCTCTTGAGTGCCCGGGCCCCAACGGTTAATTGTTTGGAGAAAACACCAGGGGCAAAGCTCATCACTTACAGCTCCAATGTGACGACAATGTTTGCGAACATGGGTTGAACAAGCGTCAGGACCGAACCCGCACGATCTACGCGACGTTGCGCAGAAGGTGATTGCTGGAACGGTTCCACGGCTTGTCTTGCCATCGATGCAGGAGCTCCTTGAGTTCGAAGAAGCCGGCTGTTGAGAGAAAGAAGAAAAGTGCCAGGGTTTGGGAATGATGTGATTTGTCTTTGATTGTAGGTGCACGGGAAGGTTTCCTCGGGGTCCACCGTTCCGCGAATGGTCCGCGAGTGGGGCAAGGTTCTATGAATGCCCTTGGGCTGCAACGAATTTAGTAGAAGAGGTTTTTGCACATGGCCCTTCCTGGGTATGTTCGTCTTGTTCGCAGCAAAGATCCCCGGAGCTTTGTGGGATGTTTTTTTGGGAGCACTATAACTTCGTAGAAACAAGTTTTGGTGCTGCCTGGTGGTGGCCTTTCGGCATGCGCCCTCCATGTTGCCTTTACAAAGAAAAATATATCTATATATACATAGATCGTTGAGGGGGATGTTACCCGAGCCATCCCATACCCGACCATGCACCTTACCATACCAGACCACATCTCTGAAACCAAACTTGCGGCGCCGCGCTTGCTTCTGTCCTGTTTTTTTTTGCCTGGCCGTCCAGGCGCACAGCGCTGCCTCTGCAGCGCTCTACAGCGCTGCTTCTGCAGAAGCAGAAACAGCAGCACATTGGGGGGGGGCTAGGGAGCCACCGCTAGTGGCCAGAGAGAAAGTTAGTCTAAGTGTGGGATTGTGCAAGAGGGGAAAGCTGTCTTGCAGCCATGTTGGGAGACGCGATTCTTGCTTTGCTGGCCGTGTCATTGATGCTAAACTTGGTTCTGGCAATCAGTGTGGCAGTGCTATTTGTCAGGGCAAAAGGAAGCAAACAGACCGAGACACCTACGCGCCAAAAGGTCGAGAGCAATGCGACTATCTACAAGTTCAAAGGAAGCCATGTGTATCACTTGGCTGGCTGCCGTCACGTGAAGAAGAGCGATAATTTTGAACTTTTGCGGCCATGCCATCACTGCTCTGGCCTATAGCTATTTTGTATGTATAGCTCTACTGTATAGCTAATGATCTTGGCCAGTGTCAAGGAGACGGAGTGCAGCGCAAGCGAGGAAATACAGCAACCCTTTTGGCCAGAGAGTGAGAGCAATATAATTGCATTCCTACAGTAGTGTCTCTATATAGAGTGACGGACATAGGCTTACGAACGTTCCCCTAAAATGTTCTAAGTGTAGCGTTTTCCAAAAATCGCCCAAGACACTTAGAACATTGAAATAATGTTCTAAGAGTTGGGTTTTGACCATGTTCTAAGTGCAGGGTTTTGATTTTTGGAAAAATATAATGTTCTAAGCCTATGTCCGTGACTATAATGTATTGCTATGGTATGTATATATTGTATTGCATGGTATTGTTTTGTATTGTTTGTGATGTATGTGCTGTGATGTAAGGTAATGTAATGTGACGTGATGTGATGTCATGCAATGCAATGCACTTCCGTGAAATGCAATGCAATATAATGTGATGTATGTATATAGTGTATGTATTGATGTAATGTAGTGTATGTATGTTTGTATGTGTGTTCGTTTTTTATGTATGGATTAATGTAATGCAAAGTAATGCTGAGTAACTTATGTATGTTTTGGTATGCATGCATGCATCGATGTAAAATGTTATATTGTGCTGTGTTATGGTGTGGTATGGTATTGTATTGTATTCATGTTTGTTTGTTTGTTTGTTTGTAGGTAGGTAGGTAGGTTGGTGGGTACATGCGTAGGCGTGTATGTAACGTTTGTATACTCACTTTTCTTAAGATACACCCAGCGCCTAGCGCCCGGTCTTGAGACTGGGATTCGTGCGGCTGTCGTGTTAGGCCTCGGCAGAGCCCAACCTTGTGAGCTTCAATGCCGCCATCAGTGCATGTGAGAAAGGCTGGCAATGGGAGCACGCGATGCAAATCTTTGGAAGGCGTGCGAGACTCTTGCGCTGTTTTGACATGCCTCCGTGAAAGTGGGTTTGGTTTTGAAGAGTAGACTGGTGCAGACGGTGCGTGCCTGTATGACAAGCATTTTCTGCATAACTTTTGATGACTTGTTAATGCCAGCACAAGACGTTTGGTTGTTTGGATGCTGCATTTTCAATGCGTGCTAGATGCAAGATGGTAATAAAACTGGAGGACAATCTTTTTCACTGCAGCATCAACTCAACGCCATGATAGGGATTGCATCGAGGACAATCACCAAAGGCAGCCGATAGGCTAGGATGAAGTTATTTTCTGCGAATGAAGTGAGGAGGTCTGGGGGGAAGGTTGGGTAAAGTGCATGTAAGCCGCGTTAGCCTGCTGGTGTTTTTGTCCTTTGCCAAGGATTAGAGTTTTTTGTAGGTTTGTGATGCAGAAGATGCAAGGTGAATGGGTCAGTGCATGAATTGCATCAGCAAGAAGGTCTTTTGCAGCGGACTGAGGTGAGGACAGGTGAGAGTGGCAACAGAGCAAGTGCAGCCTCCGACATAGGTTGTACCTCCCGACACCAGGCAAACACCAAGGGTTATGGTGTTTGCTTCGAGAATGTTGGAGTGGAGTACGCTAGCTTAAGTAAGACCAGGAGGAGACCAGGCATGGGTACCTGGTACCCGCGCTGCACTTGCACCAGCGTAACCATGGTTTCAAAAGTTATGTTTGTCCGAGCGTTGCAGTGACACGTGTCGTGCCTCGTCCCTCAGCCCAGCCCAGGCTCGGCATTCTGTGTTTGTGTTTGGAGGGATGCAACCCACAAAGCAGTAAACATTCTCGTTGGGTTTTGGTCCCGATGGATACCAACATAAACGTTGTCAAGCCGGGGGAATTCTCTCTAATGCTGCTGGACGGATTTCAATGCAAGCCGGGCGGCTTCTCTTGCCTGGGTGGCTTAGCCCAAGAACCCTAGTAGCCTGAGTGCAATCTTGGAGTTTGTCTTATGAACTTGTTAAGCTGATCGTTCAAGAATCGCTGTGCTCCTCCTCTTGCATAACATATTTGACTTGTGCAGGTGTTCCCAGCAAATTTCCCAACCATTGAACCTTTGATTGTTTCAGAAGATTGAACCATCTCAAAGAAAAAGAAAGATACTCTAGATTCCTGAAAGAAAGAAGAAAAGGAGACAGGGTCATCTTCCAAAACTCTAAGAACAAGATGCAAATGCATCACTGATGGAAGAAAACACTTATCCCGGCAAGAGACCCCAAACAGGTGTGTGTGAGGTCTATAAGCAGAAAGTCTAGAGATCTAGACGCATTGAGGTCCAGAGAGGTGATGGTGGTGATGAAGGTGGGGATCGTGGTGACGGTGGTGGTGAGTGAGTGAGAGTGAGAGGGAGAGTGAGAGTGAGAGTGGGAGAGTGAGTGAGAGTGAGAGTGGGAGAGTGGGTGAGTGAGAGTGAGTGTGAGTGTGGAGTGTGTGAGTGTGAGCGTGTGTGAGAGAGTGAGCATCTGAGAGCACAAAGTGCTTCGCCTGCGCCGAAATCTGCACTTCGAGGTTCACAAATAACTGCGCCTGCCACGAAATCTGCACTTCGAGGTTCACAATGTGCTGCGCCTGTCACAAAATCTGCACTTCGAGGTTCACAAAGTGCTGTTCCTGTCACGAACTCTGCACGTCAAGGTTCACAAAGTGCTGTGCCTGCCACGAAGTCTGCACGTCGAGATTCAAAGTGCTGTGCCTTTCCCGAAATTTGCACATTGAGGTTCACAAAGTGCTTCGCCTGTCAAGAACTCTGCGCGTCGAGGTTCACAAAGTGCTGTACCTGCCGCGAAGTCTGCGCGTCGAGATTCAAAGTGCTGTGCCTTCCCCGAAATCTGCGCATTGAGGTTCACAAAGTGCTTCGCCTGTCAAGAACTCTGCGCGTCGAGGTTCACAAAGTGCTGTACCTGCCACAAAATCTGCAGGTCGAGATTCACAAAGTGCTGTGCCTGCCACAAATTCTGCACATCGAGGTTCACAAAGTGCTGTACCTGCCACGAAATCTGGAAACGAGCCACATGTCGAAAAGCAACGATTCACTGCACCTGTCACGAAGTCAGGGCTCGTCGAAGATCACCACCATGTCCAAAGTGCTGCACCTGCCACGAAAACTGCAGTTCGAAGTAAAGAAGCTCCGATCCCTTGCACCTGTCACGAAAAGTCGGCTTTCAACCACGAAAACACGAGGTTTCTCTTGCGCCTGCCACGAAAAGTCACCACCATGTGCGAAAATGCGCACGGCACCACAACGAGAGCGCAGTCGTTAGAAGCACCCGCCGCAGACACCCAGATTCAGCGAGCCTGCGCAGTCGAAATGCACGTCGACGATCTCGAGAGGCATGAATGTATTGTAAATAGCCGTGGATTAGCCGGACACGGCCGCGCGCTTCAGCGATCGAAGCATCAGCTGCTTTTCTACTACCGTAAGAACCTCTTAGTGTGTTCACACTGTTTGGGGAAAAGCAAGGGGAAGGAAACACAACACCTGGGTGACGGACCACAATGGATCAGCCGGCGCAGGCTACCAGACCTGAACCTCACACCCGACTTGATCACCTACAATGCTACGGTTGCAGCCTGTGAAAAAGGCCCAGATTGCACTTCACAAAGGTGTGTGAGGAAGAGGCTTGCTTCTGTGTATGTCAAATGTGCAACTAGGTGCACAGTGGCTGTTGGCGATGGATCTTCTTTTCAAGATGTACTTGGGCAGGCAGTTGCCAGATGAATCTTGAACCGAGCGTTATGCAGAGGGGTTGGCACACTCACCAATGGCCTGACAATCATTGCCATGATTGAGTACCACACCAAAGCATTGCCAAAGGTTGGGGTATGTATTAGCTATTTTCAAAAGATATGAAAACCATGGTTTCTATTGATGCTTCACGTTGGGTACGAACACATGCTTTCCATGGGTGCGTTGCTCTGGTACGTGGGTGCGGTGCGATGGGTAGGTGGGTGCGGTGCGATGGGTACGTGGGTGCGGTGCGATGGGTACGTGGGTGCGGTGCGATGGATGCGGTGCCATAGGTGCGGTGCGATGGGTGCGGTGCGCTGTGTACGTGGGGTGCATTGGTGTGTTGGATGTGTGGGTTTGGTTCAAATAGACTTAACACAAAGCAGAAACTGCAATGGGTTCACTCAAGGAGTGATACTTGCATTGACTCATTGACTTCACTTAGTTCACTTAATTGAACGCTGGACTCACTTTGGACGGGTTTTTGCTTTTTGTGAAGAGAAGAGTCAAAATGCAATGACAATGGCTGGCCGTGTAGAACCCCAAGCCACTTTGCTTTTGGTAACCTCAAGAGACACCGAGTGATCTAGTATGGCTTATTTCAAAAGCAACTTCCCGCAAGAGATGAGACGGTTGAAACATGTACAGAAATCATTTTAGTTTTGTTATTTGCCATTTGCATCCAAGAAAAATCAAGATGATACATTGAATCCAAACAGGGCGCTTGCTCCGAATGGATTGGGGGAGCAAATGGCTCGCAACCAGCAGCTGGCGCTTGTGTTGGCTCGGGGTCTGCTGCAGCATGCAAGGGCTAGCCGTATGGCATTGGCAAGAGCAGGCGCTGAAAGCATCTGTCTGAAAAGAAACACTGAGGGGAAGCGGACTGGGGTTGAGTCATGCCGCTGGTTGTGGGTTCCTGTCTCATACATACACATCATACTTCATACTAATCGAATCAAAGACAAAGAGCTAGGAATCTAAATTCCAAGACTCTTGGACTCAAAGGGTGGAAAAATCTATTGATTTGCTCAAGTGCATTTCAACGCTGTGTGCAGGTAAAGCAAAGCACAACATCCACAAGAAGTTTGAGCAGCGTTTCAGCAAGGTCAGGCGAGGCTTGATCTATGAATGTTAACATTCAACCTTGATGACAGAGTATGGCTTAGTACTCTAATTCACCTAAACTCTAGGCTCCAGACTCTAAACTTTAAACTACTTCTAAACTTAAACTCTAGACAGACTCTAAACGACTCGACTTGAGTTCGTCAGTTGGATTTGTAGTGTCTTTGGGATTCTAGGAAGACTTTAGGAAGACTAAACAACCTGCTTCACATTGTGTGATCACTTCTTTCTTCGTGCTGGGGGTGATCTAGTGTGTGTGGGTGGCAGGGCGCAAATACTCAAGATCAACAAAGAGCACGCTGTTCGGCAAAGCGACCTTATTGAGATTGACGTCAACGACAAGCTTGAACCAAAGAAGATTCGAGGGAAAGGCAAGCGCCTTTTTGTATCATGTATGTATCTGTATCTGACAACTGACTAAATGCATCCAGAAACATTGGACTTTCAACTCTGTCAAAGCTGTTGCCCAAAGAAACACTTTTGCGAGGACAGTCTCGTGCTTGGACGGCCGCAGCCATCTTGAGGGTGGCGTTGGAAGCTCAGATGTAAACTTAGACTTAGACTTAGACTTAAACAAAATAGATGAGCTATGGCCCACACACACATATAGTATATAGTATATAAAATAGTATATCGTATTGTAGAATATACTATTTAGTAGTATAGTATAGCTTGTTATGCCTTGGCTGAATGGTTTGATTCACAAGTTTAACCGTTTGACTGACTCAGATTTGGGTAAACACTCAGAAGATGTTTTCCGCTTGATGGCTACACACCTGACTAAACTTGACTAGACTAAACTAAACATTAGCATTAAGCATTAGACTTGACTCCATGTGAGGCTCGGAAGATCAGTTGCATCTATGTTGGCCCAATCCTCGAGCGCAAAGCGAAAGGGTAAGTTGCCACGATTGAAGGCCAAGTCGCCTATCATGCCTTTTGCCTCAAAGGTTGTGGCTGATGTCCTTAACACGCTCCATCAAAGTCAATACCCTTCCTCAACTTGCTTCTTCAGGTTTTCCTTGAACTCCATTGCCTACTGGATGGGAGCTAGTCCAAGGACAGTGGCCGAGGCAAAGAAAGGGTTCACCACTTGTGAATCAGGATTGAACAGCTGCGACAGCAAGTCACACAAGTCAATCGAGCGTCGTTCAAGGCTCGATCTGCAGTCTGCATGGTCTACTTGAACCACCAGGCGAACGTGGTTAGCAGGATCCTTGATCAACCGCAGGAGGCTTGCCATGCGATTCTATTGTCATTTTGTTGTGTGCTATGAGCTGTTCTTCTTGGATCAAATTGGATCTGACAACTTAATCGAATATTTTATGATATGATATGTTGATGTTAACTGCAAGTGATGTCAAGAGTTCATTGACAGGGCCGGCCTGATGTCATTGGCTACCACATTGAGTTCGACGAGACTGCTCAGAAAATGCAATTGCGGCATGATCTTTTCAGAACCACCACTAGCATGGCAGTGTTGGCGGGGTTGGCTGTGCTTGTGCATGGTGTTGGCGCACCGATTGATTTCAATTTCAAAGATGTTAGATGTTAGTAACTAGCAAAGGTAGCGGAGAACATAGGAGAACCAAGTCTCAAATTTACAATAGATGTTTTCTACCTGACAGGTGTCGAGGACAACTGTCCTTGTAGCAAAGGGAGATGAGCGAGTACAACGGTTGGTAGTCCAGACCTCAAACTCAGACTACAGTTTGCAGCTGGTGTAGTCTGCTACTACTAGTTGCAAGTTGTTGTAGCAAACTACTGCACATTCGAGGTCACCAATCCTCCTGCCATATTGCATCGCAAAACTGCAAGGTCTTTGTGGAACGGGCTGGCAGCAAAGCAGCCAGTAGACCCTATCAGCCAGTTGGATGTCTGTCTTGAGTCTTGAGTGTTTTTCTTTTTCGAGTTTGAGGGTGACGTGGACATTCATTGAATAGTTTGACTGCTTTACCTTCCTCAGGCTTCGCTGGATCATGCAACCTAGAGGTGATGACATTTGTTTGTGATTCAGCAAGCTCAAATGTGGCCTTGGTGAACAACGTTGGTTGCCAGCAAGCACCGCCAAATGTGTTGGTCGTGAACTTATTGTGACAATCACAGTGTAGGTTTTGGCAAGCGCTTGGCAAAGGTAAGACCTAGGACCTAGACTTAAACTTAAACTATGTTGTGTTGCTATTACAGTCAAACTCACACTTACCTTAAGACTTGAGAATTGACTCGAATTCAATCTGCCTTTAGGTTTCCAGGCAGCCTTGCATGCTGTGAGGGCCTTGAGTAGTGCACCATTTTGCATGGCAAGTTTAGTTCTTTGGATCTTTGGGCTTGGCAGTTAATTGGCCTAGCGGCTAGGCATGAAATCAACCATTGCTCTGAAGTAGCTCTCAAAACTTTGGGGGACCTTGCGCCAATGTGTGACTCTCAGATGCCAAATTAGTTTTTCTGTTTGATAATGACGCAACATCCTTTTCGATGACTTTACCCAAGGTGGGGATTGTCGTCGTTGTTTGCGCAGGGAAGCCTTTTCGTTGACTTGCTCATTCATGCCCGGGCAGTTGTGAACAGAATGGACATTGTGTATGACCCGCCACATACTGAGCTTTTAAGATTCTAACATGTTTCAAGTGTCCAATGCTGCAAACTCTTGACTCTTCAATTGAATACTCTTTTTTGTTACTCACACAAGATGATAGTAAGGCCGAACCCTTCCGATATGACAAGGAATGCAAGCATTCTCCGGGAAGCAGTTCGTAGAAGTTCTGGGCCTGGAGTGGTATTGAGTTGCGACTAGAGTGACTAGAGTCTAGAGTCTGGAGACTATCACGCATTCCAAGTTTGCTCATTTGATATATTTGATTTGCAAGGTGCAAAATATCAAGAGAGTGGCGAATTGAGTGGCCCGTCAGCACAATCGCTTGAGATGCTCCTGACGATGTGTAATGGAGAAGCGGCCTCAGCCAACCATGTCAAGTGACAAACTTGGTCCTAGGTCCTATGTGTCCAAGTCCTATTTCACAACTCACAACTAGCTAACATCCATATGAGGACTGGAAGTCACTGCGAATAGTGCATCACTGTCGTCTTGGATGTTGTCCAAACCAGAACATGGCCCGTGCAGGTCTTAGCTTGGTTTAGCCTTGCAAGATTCAAGACATGCTGGAGCTTGAGGCCACAAAACATGGTTGGCCATTCTGGAAGTGGTGTGTCGAGCTCAAGCTTTCTGTTTGTTGATGGCAATGAGCCTTACAGCAGTCAGGTTTCACCACAAGCCTGTGATTCCTGTGATTTCCCGATGGACTGCTTGCGGCGATGCTATCCGATTCTACATGTCAGATCCATAGATTCTATCTACAATGTCAGATCTTGCTGCATAACTGATGTGCATAGTCAACCTATTTGTGTGTGCAAAGGCTGGGAATTTGTATGCATGATCTCTTTGGACAATCCTGGAATTGGCCTGAGCTTGTTAACCTGTTCAAGACTCAAGGTTTCTCAAAAAAAACTTAATGAAACTGAAACTAGTTGCAGTAATGAACTGGTCGCTGAGGCGGATGACTTTTGGTGAGAAGAAGGTGGGCAAGCGCTCATCTCCATATTCCTTTTCTCATACCAACGGCAATGAAGGGTATTTTAAATGTTTTGTGAGGATGGGCTTGATTTGGTTGCAACTGCAGCTGATTGTTTGGCACTGGCCGCTGTGGGCCTTAGTGAGATGGACACATCACAATGGCAAAGGGTTCAAAGAACAAGGTCGAGAAGGGCAACCGTGTGGATGCAAAAGCCTAGCACACCCCCAAACTTGTTAATTGCCAGCTTGGTGCTTGGGCCATTGGAGAAGGTTATGCTTGGGTCTCAGTTCATGTC